TGTTTTGTATGCCTCATGCGTAATTACTAAATCCATCTTTTGCCTTTGTTTGGTTCGGTGATGTCGCTTGTAAGAGGAATTTTCGATACCATTTCCTTATATTTGCTTTTTTTCTCTCATTCTCTCTTTCTTAAGCAATTCGCCTGAGAGAGAAGAAAAATGTAAAGGCAAATTCTCGATAATTTTATTGGATCACCATTGGTCCTTTAGTCCTTACCTTCCTTAGTCCTTGGAGTGTTTCTTACAAGTATGAACCCATTTTCCAAAAGTATTCACCCTCCCTCGTACACTCATAGAAAAGTTCAGTCACTTGTAGATTGAAGTTCATTACTCTGTATTGACATTGTTCGAACCGCCTGTTTCGACTCTTTCTTCGAAACAAAGAAGTATCTTTCTTTTTTTTCCGTTGTTTCTTATTTACATAACGAACTCAATCCAATAAAAAAAGCTTGAGTAGATTATTTGAGTTTTCTGTCGATTTTCTTTTTCCTTTCCATCTCTTCTAAACGAAAGCTAAATCGATTCGGAGAAATATATGCTTCGAATACAGAGTCGAAACTGGCGGTTCACTTAATACCTTCCCTGAACTACTCTACACTGGCTTTGACGTTATTATTAGCTAAAATCTTAATGGAATGATAGAACATGAACATTACATTAAGAACTTTTAAGATGACTGCCAATGCTAATGAATTTGACACTGCCATTTTGTTTACGCTTGATGTTATAGTTACTATAAAGGTTATTTGTTTTACGAGAGTGAGTTATATATTAAGCTTTACGGAAATACTGTGTTAACAATGTGTGTCTTTTCTTCCGAAAGCAAATAAATATGTTGAAGGTAATTGGATTTTTCACGAAACACAAAAAATTGTAATATAAGGAAATAAAAATAGCGATGACTCATGCGTCTTTAGGTTTCTTTAATATATATCCATATTATTTGTAAACATCTTTTTGATAATGATAATGATGAATATGCAGTATTTCACTTATCATTAACAAAAATGTTGGTGTGGTCTAGATGCATCCAACCTAAATATCTCAATTTCGTCAACTTTTTCTCCCTCACTACAATCTACGTCATTCAGCCAATTTCCTCCGCTTTTCTACCTCCTTTTGTCTCCTCTTCCTCCTCTAACCCTAAAATGAAATGAAAAAATCAAATAACCAAAAAAAAAAAAAATAATAATCATAATAATAATGATACTATGATTATCATGGTGTTGCTACTACAAGCACACTTCGGCAGCGGCCATTTGCAGAATACAGTGACAAAATCACTTGCCAGGTGTGAGTGCCTTCGTGTGTACGTGCGCGCGTGCGTAAGTAGTTCCTGCTTGGTTTACAGTTAAGTTGAGGGGAAGCCACGCTGCAGTCGGGACCGAACTCAGGGGTGGCCAACATCGAGCGAAATAGAGCGAAATATTCACCGTTCTTTGGTGTCGACAGGAGGATCTCTGCGGCATGACTCGCTGGTGACGGTCGTGTGTACTTTTGACCACTCGAGTGTCGTTTATTTGTTGTTTTTTTTAGGGGGAGGAGGTAGCGAAGGGTGATCGATTCCTTATAAATGGAACTTGTCATGACCTTTCTACGTGATGTGAAAAGGACGAAGGACTTGAGGAATATAGAAGTGTACACTGGGTTCCTTCTCCTTCTACTGGCCAAGCGTGTACAGGTCGTCTTTACAGAACCTCGTTGTGTTGTAAAAAAGAAAAAGAAAAAAAAAACTTTCCGCTTTTTGTTCTCACGTGCCAGAAGGTCGATACACGACGAAAATAAAATAGAATCAAGGCCTGATGAAGATCTCGTCCTCCAAGGCCAAAAATTCACCGAACACGAAGAGATTTGGTGAAGACTTTTTTTTTTTTTTTTTTTTTTTTTTTTTTTTTAAGGACGCCTGGTCTTATTTCCAAAGACAAAAGAAAAAAAACGAGATTGGATAATGCACCCAATGCTGCGGACATTATGTGCTTTATGCGGCATATATGGATTTAGTGATTAGTGATAAATAGGATACATAACACCCCATTTTGATTTTCCTTTTTACTCGACAATCGATTTTATTGATGGAGGTGTGATAGCATCTTGTTTTTTTATCTTTTTATTTCCTTTTCTTTTCCATTTCTTCTTTTCTTGAATCGTTTTTTCTCAATGTTTGCACTTATATCTTACCTTCACTCCCTCTCTTCCTCAACCTAGTGCGATGAATCTAACTCGACCAACAGGCTCATTGAACTGACTCGAAGCCCAAGGAAACACTGCCAAAACCCCAACACCCGAGGATGTCACTCTAAGGCTGATGGAATAGCTGATCTTGAACAGGAATCTCGCCCTTAATGGATCTTTACAGCTTCTACAGTGAGAGTGATGATTTTGGGGTGAGTGATGGTGCCCTTCAAAGTACAGTGATGAGAGAATGATTGTTTTATTCATCGTTATTATTTGTTATGAGAAGGTATTTTCGCTCGTGACAAGCCTGGGATAATTATCTTTT